TCGAACCACTGACCTCTGCGATACTAGTGCAGCGCTCTACCAATTGAGCTAACAAGCCAACTGGGAGCAGGCCATCAAATTAATTCGATATAAACCCGTAGATGATAAATCAAACAACAACAAACATATGAAACATATGTGTGAACTGCGGTTATGAGACGTATATGAGAACGATCCTTCGCAGTAAAGCACTATTTGAGCAATAGTGAAAATCAGACCTGAAAAAAATTTCAGGCCTGTACGGGACTCGAACCACTGACCTCTGCGATACTAGTGCAGCGCTCTACCAATTGAGCTAACAAGCCAACTGGGAGCAGGCCATCAAATTAATTCGATATAAACCCGTAGATTTAGAGAACTAGTTAGACAGGTTATAAACCCGCTGATTTAGAGAACTAGTTAGACAGGTTTTCTCGCATCGCGCAAGCGACGAATTGGATTGAAATTAGGAAAAAAAATGGCGGAAAATTCTTTCACACACTCCCAGTACATAAATATCCGCGAAATTCGCCCGCACTGAAATAGTTTGGCGTGATGGATAATAAATCTCTTATTAGGCGTTTTGTTGTGTAGTATCGCTGAGTATTTTTACTCGTTGTTTGTATTTTGACGAGCTCGTAAGGCTTCTCAAATACAGCACAACTCATAAAATACTCTGCGATACTACACAGCAAAACGTCTAATAAGATATACTTATTTCTGAACTTTTTTATCGTCCTTTTAGCTTTATCAATGAATGGCGATTAGAATATCAAGGTTTGTCACTCTGCAGATTGTGGTAGCTAGTGCTCTTATATCTCCCTCCCTGATTAACTTTGGCGTTTTTGTAGCTTGGTTGACTTTTGAAAAAAGAAAAGAAAAAAAAAGGTGGGGGGGGGGCGCGGTTGTCGGGAGCGATTGGGAGTGTGCGAGGCTAAGGATAAGAGAGGACTGGGAAGGGAAGAGTTTGTGTGACAGGTAGCTGGGAAAGCAGATCCTGAACTCAAAGTCCTAAATAGCACCCTCCTTACAGTATCAAAATTACTGCCAAACCATTTAGAAAGGAGGAAGCTTATTGTTTTAATTTCAAGCAGAACTCGTAGATTTTTGTTTTATACAGAAATAGATTGTTTGCTTACGTGAGATATGCTAAATTTTTCATCTTTGCCTAGGGATTCGAATGAACTAGAATATCTTTTCTAACTTCTGCTGTTTCAGTCTTTGAAAAGAAATAACCTTTAGAAATGGGTACAGTCTTCCATCGCTTTCTACTTATCTGTTGTCAATATATGCCTATTCTGAGAGCAAGCTCAGCCGGCCTTAAATGACTGTCGCTGGGAGAAGTAGGGTGGAAATTAAATGTTCCATGAAGGTGAGCACCCCAATTTCACAAACAAAACAATACAAAAACGATCAAGGATAGGATAGGATACGAGCAGGCGGGATGAAACAAATGTGTCCTGACCACGTGGTCGGCTCTATCGTGGTGGGGATTTTCGTAATCAGGTGCTTACCACTTTGAGCATTTCCGTCATAAAAATTCGTCGAACTGCCTCGCGCAATAGCCAATGAATCTTTGTCTCGTAAAGTCAAAGAATTTTCAAGGACTTTGGACTTCGTATCATTGCAATGAGAGACATACAACTGAAAAAGAAGGGAAAGTAATTATCTCAAGACTGTTCCAAACATTCCTTACAAGGGTCTTTGCGTTCGGGTATATTAAGGATTTCTTTGAAGCTATGCCGCAGTTCCTCATTAAACTGGGAAAGTAGATAAATGTAAAGATGGTCTTTCTCCTCACCGAAAGGCAAGCATTGAATAATTTTCCCTCAGACATGCAGGCGTCAACCCAGAAGACCTCGGAAGTTCGTCACTTTAAAAATATCCAGCTATTTTATTACATACAAATTGAACTGATAATCGAAAGAAGCCACACAAAAAAGAGAACTTGCTAAATGCCGTTAATGCAGTCCTTAAATGTAATTTTCTCTTAACAAAATGGCAAAGTGCAACAAACTGACGAAAATGTTCACGCCAGTGCAAATTAATCTTAATTTTGTTTATGACTTGAAATTGTTTCGAACTCTTCCCTTTTTGCTGATTTTCACTGCTTCATGGCGTCCTCGAGGCCTCTTGCCTTTCGTCTTAGAGCTTTTGCAGCATCAGATCCCTTGTTTTCAACGAGATCCCTGATCGTGAAGCCGAGGTCTATGGCATCGAACACCACGAATGCGACATTGACGGCAATAACGACATTACCGACAATTTCGCCGACTGCCTCAGAGCCCGCTCTGGTACCTGCTTTGACCACGTCATCAGCAGCTTGTGCTCCAGCCTGACCCGTTGCTCGTACCACATCGTCAACAGATTGCGCAGCTGCCTTTCCCGCCCCTTGAGCACCACCTTGGACTGCAGCTTTTGCACCGGCCTGACTCGCACATGCCACTACCTTTTCTGCTACTTGTACTACGATTTTAATAGGTGTTCCTACAGCGAAAAACACCACCTCCCGAAGAATCCTCATGACCCAAGGGCTTCCTAACTTGAGAGTTTTGGCAAGGTAATAAATATAGATGAGCCTTACTCTATCTTTCACAATAAAATCCGTTTGGACGATCCTGTTTACCTCGTTTACACTGTCTACGGTCTCACCCAAGTGTTTCTCGGCCTTTTTGATTTCATCAGAATTTATCAGACCTTCAGCGATGGCTGTCCCAAGGTTTGTAGTGGCTCCAGCGCCTCCAACACACAATCCTGCTATGAACAAAGGAGTAGCAGCCCCAGCTGTCAGTATCGCCGCAATTCCTCCACCGATTGAGAGAATTCCTCCCACTATTCCAGCGCTGGTTCCAACCGCGTGTGCTGTCTTGCAGTCCCTCCACACGTCGTCTAGTCTATTTGCTGCTTCACGAAGGCTCCTAATGGTCTTTTTGGCGTTGGAATCCATCTTCTCTGTTTTCTCCCGAAGCAATTTCAAATCTCTTCTATCTTGCTGCTTTACATCCTCGGGCAAAAGGTTGATCATGCCGATTATTTCCTCTTGATCAAGGTTCATTTTCTCGCGTTCTTCCTACAATTAGACATTCAGACAATTAAGATACACACTGAGAGGGAAAAGATGACCCTGTCGTTCATTGGTAACATCGCAAGTTATCTGTGTGTTATTGAATGAACACACTTTTGGTCAAATCACGGACAGGTACAGGACGAGCAAATCTCTTCTGTTCATGCCAATGAGGTTTTCAGAAAGCACGCTTAAAACTGTACTTATCCCCCCTCCTCATTTTTGTGGCTTCTCCTTGAATTTGAAGCTTGAGTTAGGAAATGTACTTCTAAGACGTCCAAAGGATTATGTTATTATTGTTTTATTGTAGGACAGAGTATATTGACCTCTCCTCCTCCCCCTAATACAAGGGCTTAGTGTTACGTATTGCAGCGCCTTTCAGCGGTTTCAATAGTTCCCATCTCTTCGCAGCTTTTTCCTATTTAAATAGTCTTCGCACCCAATTAGTCAGGTTTTCCAAGAGTTTCTCTATGTCGTTTTATACATGTATCCTAACTGTCAGGTACCGTCGCTCTTGCTGTCCTTTCCTCGTTCAATTTTCATCTACCTTCTTTATCATTGTTGTAAATAACTGATAGGTTTAAGCTATTTCTTGTTGTATTTTAGACCTCTGGTCAAGTAAATCATTATGTAGGCATCGGATCACGTAACACGGTTTCGCGCGCGTTAGAATGTGTGTGCCTTTAGAGCGACCGCTTTTGTGTGTGTAATCGAAGTTACCTTGGTTCAATATAATACGTTTCACGGTTGTTCTGTTTTCCCCTTTTATTACAATTACATTCTGAAAATCTAGCAGTGCGTTCGCTATAGTGAGCGAGCAAGCAGGTGAATAGGTTTGTTTTTTTATGGAGCAGTCGAAGGCTGTTCTGTAATCATTCGATAATCATAATTCAGGGGTTGATCCGGGATTTAGTCAAGGGGGGTTCGGAGGGGGGTTCGGAGAATTGTCCCCCTCCGGAGGAGTCCGAGATTTTGAAAATTAGGTCTTCGGAAACATGATTTCCAGCGTTCTTAGGGAAAATTTAGGGAATTTAGGGGGTTCGACCGAATCACCCGAACAACTCCTGGATCTGCCATAGTAATTATATGTTCAAGATCGATAAGATACTCATTGATTTACCTCGTCCATCTCCAAAAGATTTAGCTTTTCGTTTCTGTCCATTTTAGCCTTTAGTACTGATCCTGTGGAGAGTAAGGTTCAACCTGGAAGGTTGAGTTAAAAAGAATCAGGATTGAGTGTGTGCACTGTTATTAAAGTTTGCGCTCAACTCGTATTTGGAATGCGCAGGTTCGATTCTCGTCGATGCTTGAATACACTTGTTATCAAGTATCAAGATGGTTCTGAGAACGATCAATGGCCATATTGGCACAATATTTCGGGGAATTATTTTGAAAAGAGTTATTACGATGGATAATTTACCGTTGTTTATATGGAGTAATCGAGAAATTTCCTTTATTTACTTTCCAATTCTTTGTAATATTTGAATTTCTCAGAGATGCAAATCTTGGAGTGCCTCAAGGGAGTATCCTGGGACTAGTCTTGTTTCCTATTTTTATAAACGATCTCAGCAAAGATACTGGAACGTATAGCAGCAGACATATATGCTGATGATACTACTATCAGTGCCAATGTTGATTATAGATTACCACCTGGAGTCTACGTCTACAGAAGAAGATGAGTAGCACCTCACTCGCTATCAATGTAAACCCAGTCGAACTCGAACAAGTCCAGTCTCATAAACTGTTTGGTGTAATTATTGACACTCAGCTTAAATTAAATGAGCATATCGATAATCTGTGTACGTAAGAAGCTAACACAGCGTATTGCTGTTTTGAAAAAAATCAGGCGTCATTCACTTTTAGATCAACGAATTCTTTATTACAATGCCATGATAAAACAGACCATGATGTATGACTCTAGCTAGTGTGTGCGTTTCTACATCTGCTCATAATTAAAGTAAGGCCTTCAGGCTACAAAAGTGTGCCGCACGCGTTATTCTCGATGCTGACACTAGAGCAAATAGTGTAGATTTGTTTTGAGAACTTAATTGGCTACGTTTTTTTCATGAAGCTAAGATTAATCAGTGCGCATTAGTTTATAAACGTTTGAACTGGATGTGTCCCGATTATATGTTAGAATTACTCAAACGAAACACCGACATACGTTCTGCTGAAAGACAAAGTAGATATGCGCCTTTGAGTTTAATTTGTCCAAAGTATAAAAGAGAATCAGAACGTTCTAGGACTTTTCAAGTATCAGCCACTAGGTTTTGGAATTCACTTTCCACTGAAATTAAGAGTAGCTCTGGTTGAAAAATTTTAATTTAAGGAAGTCTTTATATGTTTTTTTGGAGTCCTATAAAGATGTTCGTCACTTTACTATAGCATAATAATAATAATAATAATAGTAATAATAATAATATTTAACGAGGGAGCCAAACTCGCCATAGCGGTTTTCAGTGGGGCCCTCATGAACTAATTAATTAAATTAATTACCCTAAGGGATAAAATAATAATGACAATAAATAAAATAAAATGTGTTTATAAATAAATTTAAAAAAAATCAAAATCTTAAAATCGATAACTAATTGAAATATCAAAGTTTAAAATTAATAAAAAATCTTAGCTTAGGCTATTCTACTTTATTCTCAATATTTTATATTTTATATTTTATATTAATTCTTACACTTGATACAGAAAAAAAATATTCAACAGACAAATGAGTTTGTCCCATTCCACTGAGATCAAACTCTTTTTCCCGAGAAGAAGCCAGGATGCTTTTTGAGATTTTGGTGAGAATTGCATTATTGAATAAAACCTCGCATTCTGATATTTAACAAAGCGAGGCCTTTAACGTGGAATTGCTAGTTGAAAACGAGGCTAAGCGATATTGTTTCGCATCTGGGCGAGCCTGCAATTTAACGCGGAATTCCCTCATCGAGTCATGAATTTTCCTAGTAACTACGTTTCTCAGTTACTTCGCATTGAGCACTTTCGATGTACAAATGTCTACTTCAATCATAATGGATTTAGCACAGCATGTTCAGTATCACAAACAGAATAAAAAAAAAACTAGTAGTAAGAAATTTAAAGGTTAACTTTGAGAAGTATTAGATCTTGCTCAACTCAGCTGTTTTGCGAAGCTGTTGGTTGAAGGGTTACCGCAACACTGATCGGTGTCTGCAATGAAATTGATTACTAAAATGAATGCAGCAACTTAAAAAATGAGTTCAACGCAGTTGACCGAGATACACCAACTATTCTTTTCAATACTGGAATTACTGCAAACATAACACTCGACGTAGTAAAAAATTTAAACATGGGTTAGTCACATTCAACTAAGAGTAACCCTATTTCCGGAGGGTAAGGTTAAACTTTTCTTGCATTCATCAATAGCCCAGATTTAGAAAAAAATACATTTTTAAGTGGTTTTCTATGTACATATTTCATTTAATGCAATTATGAATCGAGCATTACTGACTGAATTAAAAAGCTAGAATATAAAAAATCAAAAGCTTACCTTGTGATGTAAAAGATCCGGCTTAACTCAGCTTGAGTTATTGCAAAATTGATCGATTACTGCAATGGAATGAAAACCTAAAATGAATTTGATGGGGAAAGGCAAAAACTACTTGAATTCAACTCGAAGTTAACCCAGATCCGCCAATTTCCGGCGAGGTTGGGTTGGAAAACTTTGACGCTTATCTTCGCATGAATATGCTCCGATGTAATAGCAGATTTAGCCCTTGGCAGTTCAGTAATATTGGCTGCCTTACAAAGCCAACCGCAGATAAACAAGGGTCCATCTTACCTTAGCTGTCTCCTGCAAACTCGTTAGTCGCCTGAGGAAATTCGTAACTGTGATCAATGACTGCAGTGAAATGAAGTAACATTCGCGTCACTAATGAGCCTCTGCGCGTCACTGAGGAGTCTGGGAACCAAAGAGATCTATGTCAAGTATTTTTTTACAGGCAAACAAGCTTATTCATTGGTTCGCATTTTTAGTTTCAATTCGTGGAAAGTAAGAACAATGCAATTTCGGTTTCGATGAAACTCCCTGGATAACTCTGGAAAAAGGCCAATCCCGCTCTTAAAAAGCAGCTTTAACAGGCTCAATGCTACACTCTAAAATCTCTATTAAATAATGTTGGTCGTTCACAGATTTTTGCCGAGTGTCTATAAGTTTTGCACCGAAAAAGTTCGGGCTTTGTTCGTTAATTTTAACATATCAATCGATACCTCTCTTTGTTATGATTCTGTTAAAGTCTCGAGAAAGGCTGGCATTGCAGTCCTGGTATGAATAAAGATGATATAGATGACACTTTTCTTGCATTCGAATTCATCAATAGCCGAAATTTAGACAAAAATACATTCTTCAGTGGTTTTCTGTGTACATATTTCTATTTGATACAATTATGAATTGGGAATTACTGACTGAATTGAAAAGCTAGAGGATAAAATATCAAAGGCTTACCTTCTGATGTAAAAGATCTTGCTTAACGCAGCTTGAGTTACTGCAAAGTTGATAGATTCCTGCAATGGAATCAAAAATTGAAATGAATTTGACGGGGAAGGTAAAAACTATTTGAATCAAAAAACGAGTGAAACGAAGTTGACCCAGATCCGCCAGTTTCCGGCGCGGTTGCGGGGGAACATTTTTGTCATTTGTCTTCACATGAATATACTCCGATGTGATAGCAGATTTAGCCCTTGGCACCGTTCAGTATTACCGGCTGACCNGTTTTGGGTGGAGAAAAACGTTCAAATTAATATCAATTATTCCTGCCGTAGGTAAGAGTTTTTGCAATCGCGTGCAAGGATGCAACGCAAACAACCTCGTTTCTACTATAGGCCGAGTGAATAATCAGCTAGCTGTTCTTTCTTCGTGATCCACATAAATGAACCACCAAATTGCCCGGATATAGACTCCCCAAGAATGAACTTCAACTGTACTAATGTTTCTATTCTGCCTCTGATTAGCTGATTTTGAGACTCAAATCATTAATGATCAAATGAAAGCATGTTGATCTTTCGTTTAAAGCTAATAGATTAGAGATCTATACTACCTGAACAGAGTACACGTGTTCATTAGCTCGGGGAAATATTATTTTAATGACCACGCAATAAACGTTGATATAGACGGCGTGCAAATAAACCAAACGACCAGCAAAACATTGACATAATGGACAACTCTCCTAATAGGCCTACATGTATGAGATTTGTAAAACAGTGTGGTCAACTTTCGATGCATGGACTTGAACGAAACAGGTTATTTATTTCCATGCAAACAGCCACTGATATAAAAGGAGGTCCTATTAACCCATCCTTTGATTAAAGCGTTGTATGGGATGACTTTTTGCAACAGCACTGTGATATAATTGATAAAACTACAGAACTGCGCTGTCCGCATTGTCACTCACTGGGTTAAGCTATGAGTTTTAGTTATCTTCAACACTTACTTGGTTGGAACAAATAATCAATAAGAGAAGGTTATCAGGAGAGGCAAAGAGAAAGTAAACTAGATATACAATTGGAATAATGATCTCTCCCTAGCTTATTTCTGTAATACGTTTAGGCGAGGAAAGTCGAGTTATTATGTCCACGAAATAAAGGGGAAATTGTCCTTTACCATACTGAGACCTGACTAGTTAAAGTGTAGCTTTAGTTGCAATGGCGCCCATTTATGGATCAGTCTCCCCGAGGAAGTACTTTCAGTAAAGTCCTCGACTATCTCTGGGAGAAACATCCAAAGATAGATTTCTAAACAGCACTCCCATACGCAGGCAGATATGTAAGAGGTTAGTATGCCTTTATTGTCCTTGTTGTTACATGTGATTTTCATTTGATGCTTGTAAGGTGACCATTTCTTTAATTTTGGTATCTTACAATCGCTATGTGTTGTTATGATCGAGTAACAACGATTTGCTTTCGCCAATACTTTGTTTTGAATTTGTTTTCCTAACATTTGGAGTACCTGGTCATACTCCAGCTTCTTCTGTTTGTTTGCCTGATTTATTGTATTCCGCAGTCTCCTCTCAGCTGAGATTATGTTGAAATAGATTAAGTTTCTTTAACGATGATTTCAAATAACTGAATCTTTAATTTCTTGAATAGCCAGTGTAATCTTATGCATTACCCTTGTCCCCGAGTTAAACATAGCCTGGCTTGAAAACTTATGTAAATGTAAACCTCTTATTCGTACAGAATAAAAATAATACATTAGCTGAGGAAATTTTGCTTTTTAATTCGGTACTGTGGCGGATTGAATCTACTACAAAGGATATATCTAAAATGTGTTCATATTCTGGTTTAGCAAGCTTCTATCGATCCCAGTATGCAAGGCTACTTATGAATTCTTCCTCAACGATATCCCCACAAACTGGATTAAAACCGAAGCTAAGGGACATTAAACTTTTCAAAATTTAGCGTTTAGGTCAATTATGATTGCTCTATATGGCCACCAGAGTTTTGATATTGAAGCTAGGCTTTTCCACCTCCGTACGAAAGCAACATAATTTCCATCTGTTGGGCCATGTAGCTCGTGGTATCCTTTGAAGCAATTCCGAAATTATTCATTTCCACTCAGTTACAGCCACCTATACTAAAACAATTGGACTAAAACTTAAGTTACAGAAAGCTTTAATGTTAAAATCAGTGATGAAATCACCAGACGGAATGCTGTAAAATAATTTTTCTGCCAGTCTGAACAGAATATATGACGAAGAACATTTAGAAGAAGCATTCGATCTAAAATACTAGCATGTCTTGAAACCCTTCAGTTCTGAGAAATTCATGTGGCAAGAAACATGGCAAGTTTTTGGAAAATGGGCAAAGATCTTTCATGGACCGCACATATTTCTATTGAAATTTATTATTTGTAGCCTTGGTTTATGGAGATATTTTTTTTTATTTCAACTTAGATTTGCACATTGTTCTTAAGTTTAGCGTTGATCTTTTCAAAGAAGTCAGCAACTCTAAATGTGCCTCCTTTCCTGACACGATAGAAATACTGCTTTCCCTTTATGCAGGCTAGTCAAAGGTAATCATCTTTGGTATCTTATAATCGCTATGTGTTGTAATTATCGAGTAGCGACGCTCTGCTTTCGCTAATATTAATAACTCTAATTGTGCCCCCTTTCCTGACACGATAGAAATACTGCTTTACCTTTATGCAGGCTAGTCAAAGGTAATCATCTTTGGTATCTTACAATCGCTATGTGTTGTAATTATCGAGTAGCGACGCTTTGCTTTCGCTAATATTTTGTTTCGACTTTATTTTCCTAACATTTGGAGTACCTGGTCAGACTCTAGCCTCTTCTATATCATGATATACATAGTTTGTTGAATTCCACGGTCTCCGTTTAGGTGAGATCATGATGGAAATGGAAGTCCCTTTCGTACTTGACGGTGATTTTGGTTGACTTTCTTATTCCTAAACAGTTATGCCAACTTTCTATTCTTAAAGGAATAAAATGCTACATCAGCTGTAGAAATTCTGTTTTTTTAGTATATGGCTTAAGGATGGAACTCTGTTACAAAAGACGTCTTACTAAAATATGTTTATCTCAGGCTTTAGCAAGTTTCGTTTCTTGATCTTACTGTGTAATTATAAGGCTATTGAAATTTCCACAAGGATATCACACATGCTAAATTAAAACCGGAGCTATAGGACGTTTAACCTTGCAAAGCTGAAAGCTTTTATCATCTTCATTGCAAAGTTTTGTTATCCATTGAATCAATTTAGATCAAACTCATCTTCTCAAATGATCAATTCTTCATTATCTAATTTCTTCAAAATATTCTCAAGCTCCTCCGCTTTTCGCCTCATATCTTTGTTGGCGTCTGATCCTTTGTTTTCCGCGAGATCTCTTTTCTTGAAAATAAGCTAGTCCTCCCTCATACAAAAGCAAAATGTATAATTCCCTTTAGCTAAAATGAGCCCGTGACATTCTGTAGAACAATTACAAATTTTTCATCACCGTTTAAAAGCCATGGATGCCAAAAGAAGTGATCGAAACCTAAGATTAAGGAAAGTCATTCCACTGATAAAATCATCAGATGTAATACCATGAGAAGCTATTAATCTTTCACAGCTTTCCCATATCAAACGCCTATAAAAGAACAGTTAAACCTTAAACATCCGATAATTCTAGCATAGCTCAAAGCTCTTAATTCTAAGAAACTCCTTAGGGCAAAAATCATGCTAGTTTTCAGAAAATGGAAGACGCCGATGCTTCTGATGAAAATTCTTGTATGCAGCCTTCGCTTATGAAGTTATTTTTTAATTTCAATTCAAATTTGGACATTGTTATGGAGTTTAGCGTTGATCTTCTCAAAGGAGTTATTAACTCTAACAGTTGCAATCTATCCTGTCACGGTCAAAACACGGGTTTTCCTTTACGAATTCAGTTAATACAGTCTTCGTCTCGATCATGGTTATTTTTTATTTCAATTCAAGCTTGCACATTGTTCTTGAGCTTAGCGTTGATCTTCTCAAATGAGTTTTTAACTCTAACAATTGCACTCTATCCTTTCACGGTAGAAGCACGGCTTTTCCTTTTAGGCATTCAGTTAATAAAATGTTTGTCTCGATCATGCCCTGACCTTTTCAATAACACGACGGCTTTATAAATGAAACCTATCAGATTTCTTCTGGGAAAAGTCTTTCGTGCGTATGTTGTTTTCCCCGAAAACGAGATATCCCCTATTTGAGTTCGGAAAAAATCATTTAGAGCTGAATATCGGCGGCTGATTCACATTTAATGGATGCAAGTTACTCCGAAACAACAACAAGGAACAATCAAGTGTCTAAGATTCTCAAAATCTATCTACCGGCCATTGATGTTTACACTTTTCTCAGACACAATTCGTTCAAAAAAAAAAAATTAATATTCTCTGCGGAACCGGTAAGATTTATCCATTAGTGGTACAACACTGTGATAACTTAGAAAGTTTACGAACAGTTCTACATAAATCATCACACTGAATTCTCTTCGATTCTTTGATGATGTAATGAGTAAGACCGACATTTATTTTCACGATGGTAATAAATCAATTGTAAGAAAAATATCGATATGAGTCAGTGATGAATGCTTATTACAAGGAGATCACCGGACAAATTTAAGCTTTTAATAAAGCAGTTTCGGATTTAGAGCTGAGATTGATCAGGCATGAAGATATTGAAGTAAGTCGGTGAGCTAGCGCCAAATTATGTTTAGAAAACCTAACTTACCCACTAAAAGTAAGCGTTGGTAGATCACATGTTTAGATTGTGTATTATACGGAGCAGAGGATTACACATTAAAATGCTGTAAGGTTGGCGAGCTAATTTCATTATGCAAGGAAAAAACATTTCTAACCTGGAGATCTGGCCTTGCTTAACACAGTTTCTTCGTAGGGGGAGAAGCAGTCGCTAGAGAAGGCGCCACCGCATTGGTTGTTAATTCCGAATGGCGCAGTCATTTAAGTAGATCCCTCGATACGATAGTGATACAGAGACAAAGCATTTGATTGGTTCCTTATCACAGAATTTA